CCATATGATGTCATGCTCAGCATATAAAGCTGGGGGAAGAAGAAGGAAGGGGGGACGTTTGGAGTGATGGCGTTTGACTTCCCAAGCAATCATTACACATAATGGAGCCCTGCTTTCCTGGAGATGGCTGAACACCTGCCTGCCGATGGGAAGGAGTGAATGAATTCCTTGTTTTGCTTTGCTTGCGCACGTGGCTTTTGCTTTACCTATTAAACTGTCTTTATCTCAACCCACGAGTTTTCTCACTTTTAGCCTTCCGATTCTCTCTGCCATCCAACTGGGGGGTGCAGTGAGTGAGCGGCTGTGTGGTGCTTAGTTGCCAGCTGGGGTTAAACCATGACAACTAGATTGTCAGTCAGAATAAAGAGTTTACTGCATTCACTGGAATTTCTTCAAACTCTCCTGGTAAGAGTTAGATTCCCAAGCTGAATATCAGGTGAGAGAACTTCCTACTTTTTCACCCATGCATGACAAAGATGTTCTTAAATAAATACCTAGCTGAGCTGTTGTTATCTGTCTTTCACAACCAAAGCAAAACAAAGATATGTACTCTTCCTTTCCACATAATGCTCTCTACAAATAAGGAAAATCAAAACCAAGCCAAGTAAGTCATTTTAAACTATAAAGCCAACAAACAGAGAGAAAGTGATTCTTAATAGATTCTCAATTGTATTTTTTTCTTATAGATTGTAAGATAGTTTCCATTAGAGAATAATGTAAAATACAGCATCTATCTTTAGACTAGTTGTTCTTAAACAAGGTCTTGTCATAACACAAAAACCAGTACATTTAAATTTTATTTGTTTATGTATTTTCTGTAAGGTGTAATATATAATAAGATGTCTTGCAAGCTAGTTATGATGTGTTGAAGCCATTCTGTAAGCCTAAAACAGAAATGTAAAGTTAACTGAATTTGTACAGTTTATTTGTAAAGTTATACAATGAGTAGCAGCAATAACACTGTCATAGCCATGATGGTCTAATGATAAAGGTAACAATAGTGGTAAGAGGCCATCTCTTTTACTAGACCAACTGATGCAGTTAGAAACAGTGTCTTGCATTTGGGTAAAATACTCTTTTTTTCCTCCCAAGTCTGAAACAGCAAAAATGACACATAAAACACCTCATAGTGAGCATGTTACAGATTTAGGTGCGAGGCTAACAGAGTCTGGGAAAAACTGGAGCAGAAAAATAAGGTGCTTGTTACAAGATGAAACATTAATGAAGTTTTCCCAGTGACCACAGCAGTATCTTAATCCAAAACAAATACGTAATGTGATTTTTGAGTGATAGTTAGGTAAAGGACATTCAGTGATAAAATGAATTGGGAAATAAAGTGGATAAATCAGAGCATTTCAGTGACGACAAGGATGCAGAAGCACAACTGTGACTTGGAAAAAAACTCTACAGAATAGTTTCAGCAAGAATAGTTTCAGCAAGAAACGGGTAATCAATACTTCTGCAGACATGGATTCATGAACACAACAAACAGGGAACAATTACAGTTCAGATGTGCTCCAGAGAAATAAAAAAAAAAAGTAAACTTTACCTCAGCTACTTCAAACCTTAGCTGGAATTCTGTCATATTTTTCAAAGATTCTTGTTTACGTAGTTTTTTTCGCCTTGTACTGCTAGCTCGCTTGAGGGAACCAGATGGGGCTTCAAAAAATGGCATGTCTTCCACAGGGCTGCTTAGAGCATCATAAAATTCTTCTTCTGATTCTAAGGATTAATTCACAACAACATTACATATACATTTTCAACACCCAATATTTTGCAGTACTATGACCTAGAATTTTTATGTCTACATCTATAAAAACTTAAATGTACAAGTATGGGAAGATTACCTAGCTGATAATTAGCAACCAAAGTCTGTTTCTGTAATTATCTCCGCTCCTGCCTCCACAATTTTTCACCACACCTACAGCTCCCTCTGTCACGTCATAATAAATCAGTTCTCATCAACTAACTCCTTCGTCAGCATTCTCTCACTATTGGCTGTGCAAAAGACAGCACAAACCATGGCTCATCTTGCCTTCATTGTGTACTAATAGCTAAATAACTCTTCTGCTGGTCTGACTGCTGCTGACCGTACAGACTCTTTTGCCTCACTATCAGTGGGACTACTTTGGATCTCTCCCTGTTAAGGGTCTCCTATTTCAGGACAGACTCCTAAGGACTATCAAGCTTTTAACCCAGCTGACATTATTACAGAAGTATAACGAAGACAAATAGATTGCACCATCTTATAAGGCTCTTTTCCTTCACCTAAAAACCATAAACACTGAAGTTAAAGGTAACTGTGGAAGAAGCATCCTTCTGACAAAACTGAAGAAATGACATTAAGAGGTATTTTGTAAGGCTTAAAAGCACCGTTGAGTCTGGGGGTGAAGATAGAGAAATAACATGAATCACTTAAAATGATTGCACAGCTGTATGTACAGTAAAAATTAAAACAGAGACTTGATTCAATCTAAATCTACTTATTACCTTCTCATATTAACTGTGGCCAGCATTTGCTCTCATCTCACCCTAATTTTTAAGAATTGAAAGACACATTCTCCCTACCTTTGGGCACTTAAAGGAACGCATACAAAAAACAGATGAAGACGCACAGATACATATTTCTATACATACTGTACACACACTGACTTTAAAGTGATAAAGTAGACATAAAAATTAGCTTTGCTGATAATTTTGCTGGTGTTTGCAAACCACATATATCATTAACTTGAGAAAGAAGAAAAAGTATTATTCTCTGTTTCTCCAGTTGAGTGTTTTGGCATGACAAAGGTGATTGACGCTGAAATAACATGGATATGTTTGATTATTTTTCAAATGTAACTACTAGATGGAACATTACAATCTAGCTAAGCTGTTTCAACAGCAAGGCAGTATTAAACACGACGAGGTTCTCCACAGCCAATCTTCTGTTTGATGCTGTAGAAGTTGAAATGATACTTATTTATAACAACACAGTAGTTTCCAACAGTCATCGTTTCAGTATTTTGTAATTTACATAAATCCAGCTAAGTAGGAGAGAAATCCTTCACCAGAAGAAAAAAATTAAAATCAGAGGACTAAGTACATACTGAAGCAAAAAAATGACATACATACTACTTCAGATGTTCCGAATAGAGATCTGTAGTAACGTATGCAAAGACAAAAATAAATAAACACATCCTACCAAACATTTTACTGCTTTGCCTTCAGAAAGGGAACGGCAAGAACAAACATACAGAATTTTACTGCTATGAGAAGACACACAAATATTTTGTACAGAGTGAATTATAATAAGCTGCACAGAATATAACACTACTCAACCTTCAAGAACTTGAAACAAAGCCACAAATGATTGCTTACTCCAAGAGAAACAAATTAATTCAATGAACTCAAAAACTTGACTTGACCTGTTTATTAAACCAGACTTTAAAATAGATCGTATTACCTGACTCAGCAAATGAATGAAGATCCAAAACAGGAAACACACCTTGTGACAAATGTGGTGCTGAGAGCACAGGGGATATTGCAGCCTGAAACAGGAGATACCATAAATTTTTTTGCTTGAATTCATTGGTCATGCTATTGCATGCATATATGTTGCATCGAAGTTTTACAACTTAAGGAAATTGGTCTTATTTTAAGTGCAAATCATTACAGTTAAACACTTACATTACTAAAATTAGAAGCATGGGGAGAAATGAGGCCTAAATCAGGTAGAAGTAGCAGGTACTGCACATTCATCTAGCTACAGAGAATAAATACATTAGGAAACATGGCAAAGAGGTTCAAACATTCAACTTCACAGACCAAAAGATGGACAGAAGCAGCACATCATATGAAAACTCGGGAAAGACAAAACCTAGTCCCTCACAGGACTACAGTACGGCAACTTCAGAGAACAATAAAAGATCACTGTGCTTTATAAAAATCACATGATACTAGTGGCAGGTGGGGAAAAAAGAAAGAAGAGCTAGAGAAAACATTAGAGCAGACAGAATTGTTTCTAAATTTCATAGAATCATAGAATCATTTAGGTTGGAAAAGACCTTTAAAAGATCATCAAGTCCAACTGTTAATCTAACACTGCCAAGTCCACCACTAAACCATGTCCCTAAGTGCCACATCTACACATCTTTTAAATACCCCCAGGGATGGTAACTCAACCACTTCCCTGGGCAGCCTGTTCCAATGCTTGACAACCCTTTTGGTGAAGAAAATTTTCTTAATATCCAACCTAAACCTCCCCTGGCGCAAC